TGTTTAAATTTAATTTAGTAATTTGGGGTATTTTCCTATAAACACATCTGAAATGGCTAAAGTGACAGAAAAATTAAAAAGGAGGGGATAAGAAACCCTTCCCTTGGAGCCAGCGCAGGTAGGCAGCGCTGCGTGTTTCAGTTCCACTGCTACCTTCACATATCCATTCTAAACCAAACTACCTTAGGTTACGATCAGTGCATCAATATTTTAAAGAACAATAACCTTGTGATAGGACTGTAGAAGCTTATGACCAAAGAAAAGTACAGGTAACAGTTACATTCTCACCTTCACTGGCCATGATAGAAAATAGCAATCAATCTTTCTCAGCATGCTACTGACCTGAGTAACAGCTGCCATTCTTAGGACAGATGAAATGAAGGCAAATCGGGAACTGAAGCAACACAGTAGAGAAGAGACTAGAGGGGTGGAAGGCACCGATCCCAACCCTGTCTAACCTCCTGGCGGATGTCATCAACTCTTTCCCCTTGCACAGGCTCATCCACTCAAAAATAAACCAAGTAGGCTGACAGACGAGCTTCTCAGTCCCTTGCAACCACCACATTCTCTAAGATTTTTTAAGCTGGAACAACTGATTTTGTGCCCGCCATCAGAAGTGGGTTTTGTAGAAACTGATCAGCTACTTCTAAAACCCAATGGAAATCCAGGGATCCAACACAGATGACACAATCCTGAAAGAACAAAGCTGAATTTCGAAACTTCCTACAAAGTAATCAAGATGCTATGGTACTCACAAAAAGACAGATATACAGAGATCACTGAAACAACTAATTAGCACCCAGGGTGGCAACATGATTCAGTGGGGAAATAATCTCCCTCAACAAAAGAGGGAGGTAATATATAATAATATCATCAACAAAAATTAATTCAGGGGCCAGGGAGATGGCTCAGCAGAATAAGCTCTTGCCTGGCAAGCGCAAGGGCCTGAGTTCAATCCCCGGTTCTGCAAAAAAAAAAAAAAAAAAAAAAAAAAAAAAAAAATTAATTCAAAGCTGGGCATGATGGTATATGCCTGTACTCTCAGGTACTCAGGAGGCTAAGGCAAGAGGATGCAAGTTCAAGGCTAGTCTGGCATAAAATATTTACTTACACATATAGAAAACATTTACAGGGGCTGGGGAGATGGCTCAGTAGAATAAGTGCTTCCTTGGCAAGTGCAAGGGCCTGAGTTCAATCCCCGGCTCCTCAAAAAAAAAATTTATATATAGGGCTGGGGAGAGAGCTCAGTGATCTAAGCACATGCCTGGCAAGCGCAAGGACCTGGGTTTGATCCCCAATACCTCATCCTGTGCCAGCTCTGGAACCCGACACTAATGCTGGCCACTGAAATTAGACGTGGTGGTACACACCTGTAATCCCTGGATAGGCTGAGACAGGAGGATCACCATGAGTCTGTGCTTCGTAGTGAGACTGTATATCAAATAAATAAATATTTAAAAAATATATGTACATATAAATGCATATACATACACATAAACATATACATACATATATACATTTACATATATACCATACAATTTACACATAAAACATTTTATATTTTAAGTAATATTTAAGTAAAATAAAAAATAAATTTAAGTAAAATATTTAATATATGTAAATTATATATTTTATATATGCTTAGTATCCACAAAATGTCTAAAGAAACCTTGTACTCAATCATTAAAAAGTCAATTTAAAAGTGGAAAAAGGATTTGAATAGATATTACTCTGAAGTAGACAGCTAATAAGCACATGAAAAGATGCTTGCCACTATTCATTAAGGAAAAATTAAATCGAAAGCTTAACAAGATACCTCTTCACATGCACTTGGATTGCTTAAAGATGGAAAATAAATGTTAAGAAGAATGGAGAAAATGGAACTGTCACATATATACTGGTGGGAATGTGAAATAGTACAATCACTTTGGAAAACAATCTGCCCGCTCCTTAACTGATTAAACAGAATATTCAAAAAGGAAAAAAAAAAAAAGCCCCATGCGTGACTCTTCAAAGCAGTATTTTTCACAATAGCCAAAAATTGGAAACCACCCAAATATCCACCCACGGATCAAAAAACAAACTGTGCTATAGCATATCCATACAGTGGCATATAGTTCCACCATAAAAAAGGACACCAACACATGTTGCTATGTCAGTGAACCTTAAAAATAGCATCATGGTAAGTAAAAGAAGTCAGACACGAATGGCTATACACTGCTTGCTTCTATGTTTATGGGAAATCTATAGACAGAAAATTTAATGGTTGATGGGCGAGGAAGAAGGGAAATGGAGAATACCTACTAATGATGCGGGCTACCTTTCTAGAATGATGAAAATGTTCTGGAATCAGACAGTAGAATGAGGATTCCCTAATTCTACAAACACACCAAATGAACTGTACATTTTAAAACAATGAATGTTTTATGGCATGTTAATTATGCCCCAATGTTTTTTAAAAGGTGAAGAATGGCCCTCCTTAGAAAATTGATTCTTCATTTCTTTTTCTGGTCACCTACTGGGCCATGAAAGCATACAAATAATTACAACAATATCTGACACACACAAGCCCATTGCAACAAATATTACAATAAATTTCTTTTTAACAAAATTATTTGCAGGTATTGACAGTCCACATGTATTTTTTTCTTGCTTTGAAACAATGAAGATTTGAGAGTTTCTGAATTTATGCTCTATCTCACAATCATTAGTAAAACTGGTATTTTTCTCAAATAACAGGCTAAAACACAGGTCTCCATTTTAGAAATTTCATTAACATTTCACTAACGTTTAGTAACATTGTCATCTCTAGAAACAAAAGTACTGATCTTCCAATATTTAAATGGCAACCTTTAAATGGTTGGGGGTGGGCTATCTGTTTGTTGTTTGTCTGTCTTGTTGTGTTACCCAGGTTGTCTTTCAACTCAATTCTCCTGACTCAGTCTCCAATGCCTTGAATTACAGGCCTAGGCTACCACACCTAGGTCTGTACTATAAAGCTGGATTATTGCTCATACGCCAACAGATGCAGTAGGCAAGGTCAGTTTTCAACATTGGTATTTTGATATAATATATAAAACCAGATACTTCAAATTATGACACAAATAAGGCTTTCTTTCCCCTGGGATATAAACAGAATTATATGGCTGCATATGTTTGACAGAAAAAATTTTGAGGTGCTAAAAAGAAAATACACCTTTTCTATTCATTTTCTAAAACGTTGGCTTATATATGTGGCTTTCAAGGTCAGGAGGCTGTAAACCTTGTGTATTATAATCTACAACAAAAGTTTTGTTTCACTTGAAACAAAATGAAGTATTAATTCTATTCTGAAGTCATTGGGTTGAAATATACACAGTTCCACAAAAGTTGACAAAGATTGATTCTCTTAAAAATGCTAAGTGTAAAGACAATAAGAATCAAGGTATGCCAAGCTTAAGCTACCTTCTACAAAAAACCGAATTACAATAGGGCACCATGGTTTTCACTGTTTAAATCCAATGAAAATTGCATATATTCAGTTTTTACTCTTGAATACAAATGGTTTAGACAGTATCAGGACAGCAACAGTGACCTTATCCAATTTAGTAAAAACTAAACTACTAGGGGGCCTGCCCCTTAGCTCAGTTCTTTAAGTGGCTGCTTCAACAAAGCAGTCAGGCTCAGGTTGCTGTGGTTCCATCCCCACAACTCCAGCCAGCCGAACATGCCCTGAAGGCATTCTGAGCCAGCCAAAAAAAAAAAAAAATCCTAAACTACTGGGGACTGAACCCACGCTCTGACACGTGCTACGCAAATGCTCTACCACTGAGCTACATTCCTGGTCCTCTTTAGTTTGAGAAGGTCTTGCTCAGTTACCCAAGCTGGTCTTACACTTGTGACCCTTTAGCCTCAGCTTCCTAACTAGCTGAGATCACAAGCATGTGCTACTGTGCCGAGTCAACTGCAGTCTTACTTCTGGAGAAATGTATGTATAAAATCCAACCATTGCTGTGCTAACCTTAGAAGACACCAAGTCTAAGAGAGGAAAACATTAACATAGTTTAATTAATTTACACTCCTACTTTATAAAAAAATTGTGAAGTTCAACATTTTTCTTTCTTTCTTTCTTTTTTTTTTGTGGAACTGGGGATTGAACTCAGGTCCTTGTGCTGGCCAGGCAGACACTTAAATCTACTGAGCTATCTCCCCGGCCCCTAACGTTTTTCTTAAAAATACAGCACTGAACAGTTTCAAGTACAAGAATCCAGCTGAGAGTTGTATCTCATATGTATGTAAAACCCGTAAGACTAACACACCAAGCAGTTCTTTTGGATGACATATATTCAAACGATGGTATAGTAAATGAAACTGAAAAACAACAAAAAATTCTTGATAACAAAAAATGGGAGAAATAAAAATTAATTCCTGGACAAAATGCATACTACTTCACACTAGAGTGGATCACTGGGAATAGATACATACCATGTGAAAATACATACTAGAGCTCAAAAGCATAGCACATACACTTTTTTAAAATACCTAATCTCCAAAAAACTATTATATCAGCTTAGTTTTGTTGTAGCACATCTTTTCCAAATAATTCTCTTTTCATTCCAGAAAATACATTCCAGAAGCTGTCTGCAAGAGGACATGCAAACGTGTTCTCTAAGGCCATGAGCTGGACTGCTAAGTTGCATTGCATTATTCAAGTAAAAAGCCCTTCTAAGGTGAAGGTCTGTAAAGGAAACAGATCACCTTTAATTCTCAGCCTGCATACTTCTTAGGTCCTCTATCGCTCCAAAAGCCAAAAGGCCTCAGGGTGCTTATTCTGAGCACTAGCAAAATGGCTTCTCTTTCTTTTTTTATTGTGGTAATGGGGATTGAACTCAGGACCCTGCGCTTGCCAAACAAGCGCCTATTCTACTGAGCTATCTCCCTGGGCCTTATTTAGAATTTCAATTTTCCTTCTTTTTACCTTTTAAAGATTTTCTAATGCTGGGGATTGAAGCCTTGGGCCTCATGCATGCGGCAGGCACTCTGCCACTGAGCTATATTCCCAGCCTTCTATTTACACTTAAAAAAAATGTAATACATGTTCAGTTTTTCTGGCAGGTTCTTTTTATATGTTATAAAAGAAAGGAGCAAAAGCTTAGAGTAAAGTAAGAACCCTTTTTTCTTTGAAAGGTCAAGCAGATACTTCCTGACATCATGTCCTTTACACGATGGCATACTGTTCATACAAAAGGTCTCTTATCCTATAAAAATCTTGACAAAGACAGCCTTCTAATCCAATGCGTCCAGTCTCCGTCTAGAAGCCAAGTGTAAAAAGAAGTTTTTTAGTACATTTGCTATTCATTAATAGGCAGACATAATAAACAAAATATATTAAACAGATTAATTAGATATAGAATGCTCTGATTTATCAAGTATGAATACTCAACCAATTTTATATAGATGCATAAATATCAGAGAATTGAAACAATAAAAATTTACCATACAATTTCTTGAGTCACACATAGCCCTTCAAGGTCATCATTATAAATTACCGGCCTTCAATTTTGTGAAATGATCAATCAAGAAAGAATTCAGTGGGACTGTTCTGCTTCAAGGTTGTATATGGTGAGATTTTTGGACTTATGTGCAAACATGAGAAGTATAGAATTCTTTATCCTATTTTTAAAATATAATCTAATTTTTAAATGTTTTTTTATCATATTATGTAGGGACTTAAAGTTCATCATATCAATACTTGATGAAAAATACCTGTTCCTTATTATGCCTAAAATGTTTGAAATGCAGTGAGATAGTGAGGTTAAGCTTGATAGCCTAAATCGTTTGATAATAACAATAAGCTTGTCTTCTGGATGGTTAACAACCTAAGTTTGCAGACCAAAATTAGAGAAAAAGGAGGGCTGCAAGGAAAAGCCAACATTTTGGCCCTAGTCTTCTAAGGTCAATTAAGACTCAGGACATATGAGAACTTGTACTGTACCTCGGTAGTGTCCCAAATTTTCTGATCAAGAAGATTATGGGGCCAAAGAGGAAAGTGATCAATGACGTAGAGTGTGCCTAAGGAGAGTCACATGGGGAGAAGACACTCTCTCAGGCTTTCACAGAGAGCACATTGGCCAAGCAATGGCCGTGACTCATCCACATGGCTGCACTGACAAAGGATCTACAATCTGAGGTACAGGATCTCAGGATAAATCCTGAGGGGATTTCACTGACCTTCTCAGACCAAAAAGCTACAACTCTTGTTGCATAGGTCCTGCTTTACCTTGGTCTTAACCATCCAGTAGAAAAGTATGAAGACGAAATATAGGAAATAAAGCCATGTTGTTATGTTGAGCTGTGGGGGACTCAGGTCAATAATTTCTGACATTGCCAGTTAAACAGAAGACCCAATGCTATTATGGGCTACTGGACTCTTTTAGAATATTTTGCTGAGTTTACACACCTATAATATTCAATAACGAAACTTAGAAAAAATGGGGTATACCGATGAATGTCCATTTTGTATCTGTGTACTCAAAGTGGTTAGGATAGATATATAGTTGCATTCTCTTAATGAATAGAATGATTTGTTCTAATGGTGTTTGTAAATAGGATCACAAGTCCGCATCTTGTACAGCAATTAACCACTAAGAAGAATATATGCAGTGTATTATTTGTTGAAAGTGCACTTCCGATTTGATTTGAAACTGTCTTATTGCTGTTTATTAATAAAACTTTGAAAAAAAATACATAAATAAAATTAAAAAAAAAAAAAGAATTCAAACTGACAAAATATCTGAAGGATGTGTTCAATTCAGTCCTTATTAAAAAAGAACTTACTCTACGGACTGCTACTTGATTGTTGCAGACAAGTACACCTCCTACAAATTCGGCTTGAATCCCCTCCCGTAACAGCACTTGTTTGAAGTCTGATAGTCTTGGTTCATTCATAAAAACTGACTGATGTCCAGGAACCTTGAGGAAAGTGAAAGGGGAAAGAAAAACTTCAAATGAAACACTGCACACAAAGTGGCACTGAATAAACTGAAGCATTGATGAGATGTTTTTTATTACTTCTCAAAGTCCTGTGGCAGATCATTTCAGGACTGCAACTCAGGCTGGGGAGAGAGCTTGGTGGTCTAAGCACCTGCCTGGCAAGTGCAAGGACCCAGGTTTGATCCTCGGTACCACATGCAATGCCAGGCCCAGAATGTGGGTGTGCCATGCTGGCCCCCAAAACTGGGCATGGCAGCATACCACTGGAATCCCAGCACTGGGGAGGCTGAGACAGGAGGATCACTAGTCCAAGCTGCATAACAAGACCCTATACCAAATAAATAATTTTTTTTTTAAAAAAGACTGTAAATCACATTCCATGTCTGTTATTCTGGATTTTACCTGTTACTTAACATTAGACCTTCAGTTTCCTGATGTTTCACAATTTTATTAGTCATGCTTCCTAATACCAGAGAAGTGTGGTAGTATGTTTTCACTAACCCACTTGCTAGACAGGGGCAACTAGAGTGCGAACAGGCAGAACCGAACCAAAAATTCACTTTCCAAGTCCTAGTCCTCTGCTCAGTTCAAAGGATAATTCTTCCCTAATGCCATTTCCACTCTTCCCTCACAGTGAATGCGATGGTTGCCATGGGTTTAGAATCCAAAAGGCAAGTGATCCTGGCCTAATGCTGCAACTCTGAAACTGGCCTGAAGAGTGCTAGCTCTCACACAAAGGAAAGATTTTAATTCTTCTGCCAATCTCAAGAGCAGCATAGAAGGCAATCCAACGAGATGCTCTCTTAAGAGAATGTAAATAAATACTAGGCTAGCATCATGGCTATACCGAATCAATGATTCTAACTGTATCAAATCCCAAAGTGATTTAGACTTACCTAACAACATACAAAATGGGATGCAAGAGCATGAGATTCTCAGTAAATTATAAATCTGATTGGAAGCCAGCAGGTCTTTCAAACTTAGTGTTTAAAAATTCATCCTGATTTCAGAGATGACTTTTGAGGTCTGCACAGTCCTACGGATAACCCATTATGATTACTGGACTATACTGGATTATTTTGCTGAATTCACCTACCTACAATATTTAAATGGCAATGGAATACCCATCTCTGACAAAACTAAATGAAAAAGGGGGATATAAATGAAGGACCATTTTGTATCTGTATATACAAAATAGGTTAGATATACAGCTACTTTCTCTTAATTCAATGAGAAGTAAGATTTGTACTAATAGTGTTTGGACAGGATATCATGTCTGCATCTTATACTATGAATAACTACTATGAAGACAACAATATGCAATGTATTAATTATTGTAACTGTCCTACTATCCTGTTTTGAACTGTCTCATTACTATTTGTTTCTCAATAAAATTAATAAAAATAAATAAATAAAAATGCATGCTGAAAGCTGGACATGGTGGTACACACCTGTAATTGCAGCACTTAGGAGGCTGAGGCAAGAGGATCTCTGAAAGCTCGAGGCCAGCCTGGGCAACATAATGAGTTGAAGGCCAGCCTGAACTACATAGTAAGACCCTGTATTAAAAAAAAACCAAAAAAATAAAAACCAAACCAAATCAAAGTAAATCCATGGGCCGGGGAGATAGCTCAGTAAATAAGCTCTTGCCTGGCAAGCACAGGGTCCCAAGTTCAATCCCTAGTACCGCAAAACTCAACCAATCAATCAATGAATCAATCCTTGCTGAAAAAACCAAACCTTGAAATCATTCTATACTTCAAAGATTGGGTCAAGGTTTCCTTTAAACTGTTATTTTCTAGCCAGAGTGGACACAGAAACACAGGAACATGTCCTGAGTAAGCTTTTTTGTTTGACAGGCAGTAGTTGACACAGGGTCTCACTCTGTAGTGCAGGCTGGTTTTAAACTAGATGTGCTGTCCAGGCTGGCCTCAAACTCATGATCCTTCTGCCTCAGCCTCCCAAGTGCTGAGACTACAGGCACGGGCACCATGCCCTGCTTGAGTAATCTAAAGAACTCCAAGATTAGCCTACAAAAAACATACTTTAAGTGGGTACAAGCATAAATGACAAGTCGAGAGACTGAGCAGGCATGGGCTTTCTTACCTCGTGAGGTGGCAAAGGCTCCAGTGTAGGGATGATCTCGCTTTCTTCACCTGTTTCTTTCTCATCATCTCCAAACAGACTCTTCATGGCCTTCTGCTGCGCGATCACGCTGGAATCTGAAGGAGCATCCACTTGCATTTCTGAGTCTTCTCCATCATCCTTGAGCTCCCCTTCTTCTAAAATAACTCCTGTGTCCACTTTGGAAACTCTCATGTCTAAGACTCCATCTATCCACGCTAATTCAGCATCTTTGGCTTTACAAAACTGAAGAGAGCTGACAAGAGAGTCTTTTAATCTCACCTGGATATGCAAAAGGGAGGGTGAGAGACAAAACCCAGAGTACAAATTAACAAATGGTATATGGCTTCTCACTGTCACCTCCTAATACTATGACGCAAATCTGAAAATCTTCCACTCATCTGATCCTAGCAGCCCAGACCATCAGGGCCCCTGTCCACTTCCCAAAGCAGAGGCTCTCAACCTCAGCTGCACGCTGAATCCCATGGCACTGTTCTTTTCCAACATGAATGCGAGGGTAGTGCCTCCAAAGTCTGCACGACTATTAGAGGGAGGAAGAGCAGAGCCCAGAGCCCCACTGATGCTGATGTGCCGCCAGGCCGGCCAGGCAGCCATCACAGCCTCTGGTACCCGGCACACTCCAGGGTAGGAGCATTCCACGCTGTTTCACACTGTGTGTCACAGAATGTTGCTTTACCCAGAATAATGTTTGGCCAGTTTAGTTCTAATTCCTTCCCAAACATTGCTTCTACCTTCAACTGTCACTGTGTCCCACGACCAGATAAGGGTTCATCTCTCCTCTACTGGTCCTGCCTTCTGTTCCTGTCTCTCATTTGTTCCAATTAGGAGAAGAACCTTGACATCTGTGAGCTTCTTCTATAAACTCTGAATTCTTGAATACTCTTCATTCCTTTCTACAAATATTGCTCGTTCTGCCTGGAACATTCTCTGCCCCTCTCTTTTCTACTCTGGCTGACTTCACAGTTCATCTAAACAGCCATCAGGATTCAGCCTAGTTATTACTTCTTCCAGGAATCTTTTTCTAAGCCTCCAAGTTTGATTCAGGATTCTGTCTTTATCCTTTTACAGCACCCTGTATTTCCTCTATCAGAGGTAATATCCAGCACTGATGTGTACATCTATAATGTGCACTCAGGAGGCTGAGGTGGGAAGATGACATGGTTCAAGGCCAACCAGAGCTACAGAGTGAATTCAAGACCAGCCAGAACTGCACAGCAAGACCGTGTCTCAAACAAACCAAACCCCATCAGCCTTCAGCTCTGCCAGGACAGTGTGCTGTGTCCATCTCTCACTCCCCTGTTCCTAATGTTGCTGATCTGCAACACAAAGTGCTTACTTCCTCATGGCTCCAGGGGCAGCTTACTTGCCTGGTAGATGTGTGTCTCACTGGTGGCATCCACTGTTTCATGCAGCTTTGGCATGTATACTTTAATGTCTTTCCCGCCGAATGCACGGCAGCACTCTGCCAGATCCTGACTGGCCTCTGGTGGGCCGTGGACAATTATCAGCTGACGGGGTTTCATCTGATTAATGATTTTTTTAATGGAATCTCCATCAGATCGTCCTTCATAGTCTATGTAAGTAACCCTGGCTCTGCAATTAGACATGAATATTTAAGCTTACATTTCTGATAATTCTAAAGTTAAGCTGTTTTTTAAAAATGGCCTTTATTATCAGGAAAGAAATGTATACAATACATAAACTGAGCACTTGAGAAAAATGTGCTACATTATAAACATGAATTATTTACACCTTATTATCCTTGAAAATATACAAAAGGTATCACTGAAAAAATAAACCCGTTTGCTTTCTGATGACTCAAAAAAATTTAAAATTATACTAAGTAGAAACAGGGAATGTCCTAAGTAGGGAAAAAAAAAGTTTTATAGGGGCTGGAGAGATGGCTCAGTGGTCTGGAGC